AAAGGAAAGAGGAAAGCCCTGACGCCAAAAACAGTGACGCTATTGCCCTCCTCCCTTGCACTACCGGTTTGTATCACTGGGGTACTCCGCGAGACCGCCGCGAAGTAAGTCTTTGATAATTTTTGCCGTCGCTGGATGCGTCGCGCCCACAGCAACCACGTTGTCTACAGTTCTTTCCACTTTCACTGGGAAAAACACAGATCAAGCTATTGTCCACGATGGATCACGATGAACTCGAACTCGTGTATGTGTGTGTATACACATGTGTATGTGTGTGTATATGTGCGTGTGTGTGTGTGTATGCGTGTGTGCGTGTTTCTTGTGTAACCTGAAATACGCGAAAAATTATTGAAATTTCAATTGCTCGAAGGGGGTTCAGGGGATCTCGTAGTTGACCAGTCTCGACTAGAGGTTTCTTACTTGTTTTCTTTTGCATAATTCGAATTTTCTTCTTGCCTTTTAAAATAAAAACAATCTTTCTTCAAATGCCCTGCTCTTCCACAGCGATAGCAACTAAGATTTGATTTAGACTTGTAATACCCTGAACCCATTTTCAATGGGAAATCAGGGTATAATAATTTGTTGAAATATATGTAACAGGCAGAAGGAGGCGTGGCAGACCCCACAAGTATATATATTCTTGATCAGGGCGACGAGCTGAGTTGATTTGGCCCTGTCCGTCTGTCCGTATGTTTGAACGCGTCGGTTTCCGAAGATATAAGAGCTAGAGACTTCCATTTTTTATTCCCTGAACCCATTGAAAATGGGAAATCAGGGTATAATGGTTTTGTTAAAAGTATGTAACAGGCAGAAGGAGGCGTGGCAGACCCCACAAAGTGTATATATTCTTGATCAGGGCGACGAGCAAAGTCGATTTGGCCATGTCCGTCCGTCCGTATGTATGAACGCGTCGATCTCAGAAGATATAACAGCTAGAGACTTGAAATTTTTTTCTTAGGTCCGTGTATATCAGGCGCATATCAAGTTTTCTTTATATATCGATAATTACTCCCGATATTTTATTATCGATTAAAAACCTTATCGAAAGCTAGTTATTCAATTATATCTCCTACACCTTTGAAGCTAGAGCTTCCAAATTTTTAAGGTAGACCTATATGTATTTTATATAATTTCGATTTTTGTTGTATTTTACCCCCACCCCTATATCCAGCCCCTCACCCTCACCTTTGTAAAAGGAATTTCAAGTACTAGAGACGTGTGCTTTGGAATGTACATACATTTTTACCATATGATTACGCTCTAAAAGTTTCCTTAAGATTGTACGTCTAGAAATTAAATTATTCAACAAATAAATTCTTATAATGTTGTCCACACTACAGCGCAGCCCAAGCGCAGTCGCTGCTTACTGCGCAGTTAACAGAGCGCGTTCTAATACGTGCGTGTGTCGAAAAGAAGTGCAGACTGATTAGAATATCAGATTAAAGGGTTCAGGGTATCTCCTAGTCGAGCAGTCTCGACTAGAGTCTTCTTACTTGTTTTTTAATGACCGTATATACAGCGCGAATGTCGATTTTGCTTTTAAAATTCGATAAATCATCGCGTTATGCTTTTATCGAATATAAACATTCAAGTTCAAGTCAGATGCTAATTGTGAATGATTTTTCATTTTTTTTAAATTTCTCAAATATTCAATATAATATGTAGATCATATGCTGAAAATTTCATTAAATTCCGTTCAGTCAAAAATTAATAAAAAATAATCAAATATTTGGCCAGTTAACAAACGCACGTGCAGCAGCTACAACAGTATCGTATACGTGTGTACACATACATTCAAACTTCTTATAAAACATTCTTTGAATCACATCAGCTGTTAGTTTGATTTAGTTTTGGTAGTGAGGTGGCGTAGTGAGTAGCTGCGTGACGCTCGATCGAGAAGTCGCGGGTTCGGATCCCGAGTGGTGCAACTTACGATTTTTTTAATTGTTTCAAAATATTTGTATATTTTATTAAGTGAGTTTTGTATTTCATTAATATTTTTAAATACATCGAAATTGAAATTTTAGCCATACTAAATGGGCATTTTTATACCGTGAACCCATTGAAAATGGGAAATCAGGGTATAATGGTTTTGTTAAAAGTATGTAACAGGCAGAAGGAGGCGTGGCAGACCCCACAAAGTATATATATTCTTGATCAGGGCGACGAGCTACGTCGATTTGGCCCTGTCCGTCTGTCTGTCCGTCCGTCTGTCTGTCCGTCCGTCCGTCCGTCCGTCCGTATGTATGAACGCGTCGATTTCAGAAGATATAAGAGCTAGAGACTTGAAATTTTTTTCCTAGGTCCGTGTATATCACGCGCATATCAAGTTTTTCTTTATATATCGATAACTACTCCCGATATTTTATTATCGATCAAAAACCTTATCGAAAGCTAGTTATTTAATTATATCTCCTACACCTTTAGAGCTAGAGCTTGCAAATTTTAGATGTAGACTTATATGTATTTTATACAATTTAAATTTTTTTTTGTAATTTACCCCCCACCCCTATATCCACCCCCTCACCCTCACCTTTGTAAAAGGCGTATTTCAAGTACTAGAGACATGAGCTTTGGAATGCACATACATTTTCACCATATAATTTCGCCCTGAAACTTTCATTAAGATTGTACGTCTAGAAATTAAATTATTCAACAAATAAATTCTTATAATGTTACCTACACTACAGCGCAGCCCAAGCGCAGTTAGCAGAGCGCATTCTAATACGTGTGTGTGTATGTATGTGTGTCGAAAAGAAGTGCAGACTGATTAGAATATCAGATTAGAGGGTTCAGGGTATCTCCTAGTCGAGCAGTCTCGACTAGAGTCTTCTTACTTGTTATACCCTGAACCCATTTTCAATGGAAAATCAGGGTATAATGGTTTTGTTTAAATGTATGTAACAGGCAGAAGGAGGCGTGGCAGACCCCACAAAGTATATATATTCTTGATCAGGGCGACGAGCTGAGTTGATTTGGCCCTGTCCGTCTGTCCGTCCGTCCGTCTGTCCGTATGTATGAACGCGTCGATTTCAGAAGATATAAGAGCTAGAGACTTCAATTTTTTTTTGTTTAATGTCCGTAATTACAGCGCGCATATCAAGTTTATCATTAAAATTCGATAACTCATCCCGATCTTTTTGTATCGATAAATAACCTTATCGAAAACCAGTTTTAAAATTATATCTTCTACACCTTTATTGCTAGAGTCTCCAAATTTTTAATGTATGCTTATATGCAATTTATACAATTTCGGTTTTTGTTAAAGTGTACCACCACCTCTAAATTCACCCCCTCACCCTCACTTTTGTAAAAAGCGTATTTCAAATACTAGAGACTTGTGCTTTGGCAATTACATGCATATTCATATATCATTATAATCATAATCCGAAAGTTTTATGAAGATCGTACGTCCACAAAAAAAGTTATTAAACAATTAAGTTCTCATAGTAAGCGCACACTGCAGCCCATGCGTGTTTATGCGTGGGTGCTTGTGTGTGTATGTGTGTGTATGTGTTTGTGTATGTGTGTGTGTATGCGTTTGTGTCTGTATGCGTGTGTGTGCGTACGTACGTGTGTGTGTGTGTGCGTGTTTCTTGTGTAAGCTGAAAGACGCGAAAAATTATTGAAATATCTATTGCTCGAAGGGTTCAGGGGATCTCGTAGTCGAGCAGTCTCGACTAGAGCTTTCTTACTTGTTATTAGTTTGGTTCAGGGTAGTATCTAGTCGAGCACTCTCGACTATAGTTTTCTTACTTGTTTTTCATGGGCTATTCGATTTGTATATCTGCTTCTTATTAAAAATTCCTTGTTGCATTTTATTTCCAACAGCTTGCAACACTTTGGCACTTGTATCTTTATTCACCCCTCTTAATTTAATTTCGTGATCTAAAAGTCGTGTTTTTACAAATGCTAATGTTAGATTAACGTGTCTCTATAGCCGTTTTAACTCCATTACTACTTGCTGGATGACTTATAAATAAATGCGAAATTTGATCCATTTCACATAACTTGCCCCCTGATGCAATGAGTACAGTAATTAGGTCATCAAAGGAATTAAAATGATTTTGTAGTGGAGTATCACCGTTTAACTTTAAATCCAATAATTGTTTACGTAATGAGATCTGTTGTACCCAACTCTTACGCTCATATGTACATATATACATACATATATCAAAAATCTTTTTTAGCCGTATTCTCACTATTCGCATAATGCACAAAATGGTCATTAAAATATTCAATTATAATACACTTTGTCTTTATTTCTGCCCTTTTTGTCTCCTCTGTCATCTCAGTTGTTCCTTGTCAATTACTTTCAACAAATCATTTTCTTCTAGCAAACCCCTTACTCGAAATTTACAGATCGGATATTTTTCGCCGTGAAACGGTTTTATGTTTGTCTTTACTTTATCCATTTTCGCTTTTGTTACACTTCTGCGCACCAATACATCTTCAGGTTTTTTGTCTTTATTGCGTTTTGATATGCTTTTCCTAGAACTGACTTTTTCCGCGAATTCCCGCTTAGCGTACTGACGCACAACTGGTGAAATTATTTTCAGCACAAATTCAAATATGTATGTTACACAAAATTTATTTGTATGTTCATATGTAATTTAAACACTTTTTATTCATTAAAACAAAAAAGTATCCAATCATTTAATTGTTATTATGTTTCTGGGCCCAGAATCTATTGAAAAATATAATATGTATTCTTTATTATTTGTCCAGACCAGCCAAAAATAAGAAGACACTGTTTGTTTTATTTCATAAACCGCACGCACTCGTTGTCGCAGCGCAACTGACTTGAAGAGCAAAGCATAAGCACCAACAATCCAAAAGACAAAGACTTTTAGAAACATTAACCATAGAATCGTCTAGCTGACTAATGCATGTTCAGCTTTGCATTTGTGTTCGTGACCTTTGCTTCTTTTCAACAAAAACCATCGAATTGATTTTATTACATTTACATTTTTAGTAATGATTTGAACTATTTTTTATAGTAACGTATATCAAAGGAAAATACAGGAATCATGTGTTTGGCCCCAAGGAATGTACGTAGAACCGTTTGGCATTACTCGAATGTAGGCGGTAAGATACTCTTTTTGATTATTATTATTATTATTATTCATTTATACCGTCGCCCTGATCAACAATATACACTTGCCAGAAAAACTATGCGTACAGGCCTAATGTGCGACTTTGATAGAGAATAAATATGATAAATAAGAGTATTATTATCAATATTATATTTTTTAGTGAAAAACTATTTAAAAACACATATTTATCAACAATTTTTTTAAAATAATATTAAACAGTTTTTTTTTATACCCTGAACCCATTTTCAATGGGAAATCAGGGTATAATGGTTTTGTTGAAATGTATGTAACAGGGAGAAGGAGGCGTGGCAGACCCCACAAAGTATATATATTCTTGATCAGGGTGACGAGCTGAGTTGATTTGGCCCTGTCCGTCTGTCTGTCCGTCTGTCCGTCTGTCCGTATGTATGAACGCGTCGATTTCAGAAGATATAAGAGCTAGAGACTTCAAATTTTTTTTAAAATGTCCGTAATTACAGCGCGCATATCAAGTTTATCATTAAAAATCGATAACTCATCTCGATCTTTTTTTATCGATAAAAAACCTTATCGAAACCCAGTTATAAAATTATATCTTCTACACCTTTATTGCTAGAGTCTCCAAATTTTTAATGTATGCTTATATGCAATTTATACAATTTCGATTTTTGTTAAAATTTACCCCCCACCTCTAAATTCACCCCCTCACCCTCACTTTTGTAATAAGCGTATTTCAAATACTAGAGACTTGTGCTTTGGCAATTACATGCATATTCATGTTATAATTATAATCTGAAAGTTTCATGAAGATCGTACGTCCATAAAAAAGTTATTAAACAATTAAGTTCTCATAGTAAGCGCACACTGCAGCCCATGCGTGTTTATGCGTGGTTGCTTGTGTGTGTATGTGTTTGTGTATGTGTGTGTGTATGTAATTTTAACAAAAACCGAAATTGCATAAATTGCATATTAGCATACATAAAAAATTTGGAGACTTTAGCAATAAAGGTGTAGGAGATATAATTTTATAACTGTTTTTCAATAAGGTTTTTTATCGATAAAAAAAGATCGGATGAGTTATCGATTTTTTTTTTGATAAACTTGATATGCGCGCTGTAATTACGGACATTTAAAAACAAATTTCAAGTCTCTAGCTCTTATATCTTCTGAAATCGACGCGTTCATACATACGGACAGACGGAAAGGGCCAAATCAACTCAGCTCGTCGCCCTGATCAAGAATATATATACTTTATAAGGTCTGTCACGCCTCCTTCTACCCGTTACATACACAAAACCACAAAACCATTATACCCTGATTTCAGGGTATAAAAATGACTTGAATGATTTCAATTTGGAGTGCGTTCAAGGCTCATAGCTTACGGCCTTCAGCAAAATGAGCGAGTATTAAAATTATAGTTATAGTTTTACACTATACTTTATATATCTTTAGATACACAAGCATAATAAAACTGTTAATCACTGAAACAAAACTGTCTTTAGATGTTTATATACGTTAAGTGATAGTGATAAGTTCAATAAAAAACACACTTAATATCTTTAGATATTATAATTCTTGCTTTATTGATAATAAGAACTTCTGTTCTGTTCGGAATGAATCTTAAGACTAACTGTAAAGTATTTCTTGGCATATGCAAATGCCTGTTTACATATATATATGTTGTTTTGTTTTATATATACGTTGCTTACATTTGTTGTTGCTAGCTGTTTATGCTTTGGTAATTTGATCTCATTTTAAATATTTCTGCATGATTATGCTGAGCTGGTCATTATTGTCATTCCCATGCACAAGTGCAATTGGTTGTGCAATTTGCATGAGCGTATTTGGTTGCATTGGTTGCATAACTCGCGTGACCCGAGCACTGAAAATAAGACAATACAAAAACAAGTAAGAAAGCTTTAGTCGAGACTACGAGATCCGCCGAACCCGTCGAGCAATATATTTCAATCATTTTTCGCGTCTTTCTACTTACACAAGCCACACGCACTCACACACACACGCACAAACACACACATGCATACACACACACATATACGCACACAATCTCACGTAGCAATATGCCCAAGCGGTCGAGGGAAGTTGCCACTGATCAGAGGAAAACACCCTCAAAAAAGCAGAGGCCCAATAAAGGCGCAGCGAACCCAAAAGAACCAATGGCTCTACGGGCTACAGCCGAAAATTCATGGATGGACAGTCGTTAAAGGACGCAAGCCCAAGCAAAAACGACCCAGAAGTGACGCAATCGCGATTTCAGGCGTGGGTGGTTGCAGCTATACAGACATGCTTCGTGTAGGCAAGACCGACCCAAATCTAAAGCATCTGAGCGGCGACGTTCAAGGCATTAGGAAGACAGCTAAGGGGGAGCATAGCGCTGAGGCCCTTCATGAAGCTGTAGGCAAGGCCTTGGGGGACCAAGCGGTAGTTAAAACACTTACCGAATCGGCTCAAATTGAGATTCGTGACCTAGATGAGTTAGCGAGCAAAGAGGAGATCTTGGAGTCAATTAGGGCGGAGTTGAAGGATAGCTCACTCCCCATTGAGGCTATCAAGTCGCTTCGACCGGCTCGAGCTCGAGCTGTCCAAAATCAGAATTGGATGGGTTGTATGCCGTATCTGCGCCGTGGATCAGTCTAAACGCTGTTTCAAGTGCCTTGATTACGGTCATGTGGCAGCAAACTGCGTCAGCGACTGTGACCTAAAGGGCGCATGTTTCAGGTGTGGAGAGATGAGTCACAGTGCAAAAGCATGCACTAAGCCACCAAAATGTAGCCTCTGCATCCAGAAAGGTGAAAAGCAGACGGACCACTCAGCAGGCAGCTTCAAGTACCCATCCTACCGCGAGGCTGCTCGTAAAATGAAATGTTAAGGTTCCTTCAGCTTAACTTAAATTATTGTGTTGCTGCCAAAGATTTTCTAGAGCAGACCATAAGGGAAAAATGTATAGACGTAGCATTTCTCAGTGAGCCTCACCACTGTAGAACCAGCTGCCCTAGGGCATGGTCAACAGACGTTAATGGCAAGCCATGTTGTGGGTATGTGGCAACACAACAAATGTTCTTTCGAATGTTAAGTCATTTAATGGGTTCGTACGAGGTCAATACGGTAGCCTATGGGTCTACAGCTGCTACCTGGCCCCCAGCATGCAGCTCAGTGGTTTCACAACGGCGCTTGACGAGCTTGCCGAGGATGCTAGGGGTCGGAAAGCCATTAAAGCAGGAGATTTTAACTCTTGGGCGTTAGAATGGGGTAGCCACACAACAAATGCCAGAGGCCGTATCTTACTGGAGATTTTCGCGACACTAGATGTTACACTGCTCAACACTGGCCACGAGTTCACCTTCAGTCGGGCTGGATACGGATCTGTAATTGACATTACTTTTGTCACTTAATTCCTAGTTCGGGAAGCAAAATGGAGCTTCTGCGATAGCTATACGGGCAGCGATCATACGGCACTTCTGTTCACAATAGGTGAGCGACCTGCCAGGGCGTCAACCTTGTGGAGGGAATCGTATCGGCTGGATACTTTTGATCCCGCGGCTTTTTCAGAGGCCATTCAGTCTCTGGGCACAATTGGTAATGCTGGCTGTCGTCGCCATAGGCAAGAAGCTTAAAGATACAGAGCATATGTGCAGCGAAAGTATCAATCGCATACGAAGCTGGTTGACAGGAGCTGGGCTCGAGCTTGCGGCGCACAAGACGGAAGTCGTCCTAGTAAGCAGTCGCAAAAAACTGGAGACTGCCAATATAAGGATAGGCAGCGTCAGCATCGCGTCAAAGAGGGCGATTAAGTATCTTGGCGTCATGTTACACACAAGATTAACTTTCCGCGAACACTTAGAATATGTGCATAAAAAGGCAGCTGATTCTTGTAGAGCTCTCTCAAGATTTATGCTTAACACGCGGGGACCTAAACAGCAACGACGTCTTCTTCTAATGAGCGTCATTAGATCTGTCATCCTCTATGCTGCGCCAATATGGTCAAGAGCGATGGCAACGCCGAGCTACAGCCGGGGCATTTGCGCGATCTACAGACTGAGCGCAATCAGAGTCAGCTGCGCTTTCATAACTATCTCCGATGATGCGGCACGATGGCGAAGGAAGTGGAATAGCTCAGCTAAAGGGTGATGGACGCACAACCTCATCCCGGAGCTTGAACCATGGGTTAACCGCAAACACGGCGAGGTTAACTTCTATATTTCGCAGATCCTCTCGGGCCATGGATGTCTTCGGAGCTATTTGAAGCGCTTTGGTCACGGGGAAACTGACGAATGCTCTTGGTGCGGGCGAGGGCATGTGGAAGACGCCAACCACATCCTTTTCGTATGTGGACGGTTCCTGGAGGAGAGGTGTCGTCTAGAAGAGGCACTGGGCCACTCCATCAGAGCGGACAACATAGTCAACGCCATGCTGGAATCGGAAGAAGCTTGGGAACTAACAAGCACCTTCGCGGCCACAGTGATGATGGAGCTCCGCAGAGTCGAGCGAATAAGAAGACGATCTGTACCAGGCAAAGGTAGCGCATAGTGCTTGCGAAGCAATGCTTTACGGCCATCCCGCAAGCATCGCGTGCTAGCCGAGCCACCACTCAACTTGCAACTTGTAGTATAATAAGATTGACAATAAACGAATATAAAAAAAAAAAAAAAAAAAAACAACATACACACACAAAAACATACGCACACAAGCACCCACGCCTAAACACGTATGGGCTGTAGTGTGCGCTCATTATGAGAACTTAATTGTTTATTAACTTTTCTTGTGGATGTACTTTCTTCATGAAACTTTTAGATCATGATTATAACATGCATTTGTCAAAGCCCAAGCTAGTATTTGAAATACGCCTTTTACGAAGGTGATGGTGAGGGGGTGAATATAGTAGTGAGGGGTAAATTCTAACAACAACCGAAATTGTATAAAACCACTGACCAGAGAACACATAGACTAGACATGTAGTACAATGTTTTTCAAACCCGAAAACTGTCTCCTAAGGCCTATCAATTTCGTATTTGCTCGGCTCTTCACTTTTATGTTCGAGCTACGAAAATATGCGAAAGCACAATCATTCCGCTTCATGCGCTCGACCGAGATGGTCAAATATTGAACACAAGAAGCCACTATGCTCAATTTTTTCTTGCTCTCCCTCTCTCTCTGCTCTCTTAAATATGTTTATGTGTGTATGCATGTGAGCACAAGCAGCAGCTCACGAAAATGGAATTACCAAGCTCGTTTTCGTTATTATTTGTGGGAACGGTATGAAAGCGTTGGTGCGCATAATGAAAATTCTTTCGCGACGAGCATGCACACACGCACTCTCGCTTGCTACATGTACTATGAGCATTTGTATGCCTGCTCTGTTGCCTGTAGCAATTTTGAAGCCCAGCATTTGCATTTGGTCGATCTTGTGAATTGCTCACATACATATGTATGTATGTATGTATATACATTTGATTGTGCGTACGCATGGGAGGCGCTGCTCACAATTATGGGATATAACTTTTAGATGCATTTGTATGCCTGTGTGGCTTTACATGTGCGTGTGTGTATGTTTTTGTTTGTATGCATGGAAGATGAACATCGTGTGCCTCCCTCATGAGTTTTATGACATCTAACAGATGCGCCCTTTAAAATGGGTGTATTTGGCCAGTATATGTATATATGTATGTATGTACATACATATGCTTCTTATTAAAAAGGTAAATTTCACCTGTATATGTGCAGATGCAAGGGATCGAAAATCGCATTCCAATTTGCCCACTGCAGTGAACTTCTTCGTCTACAAAGAGTCCATAAAATTCTTTATGTTGATCAACCAAGTGAGAAGCTGGATTGAGGAAACCGAAGATCTCCTGTCAGCAGTAATTGCCCCGGTGACGGATATTAACCAAGGAAAAGTACACCCATCGTTAATCGAACCAAATAAGATGTTAGCCGAACTCAACAAGATCCAACAGAAACTGCACAGGAACCAACTTCTTCCTGCCGAAAACTTTCCGAAAAGGCTGCAGTTAGTGTACAAACTAATGAAAGCGCAAGCTATATTTAAAGGCAACATGCAAGGTTACCAATATACATAAATCAGCATGCCACTCTATTTGAAGCCACTTGTAATTAAAGGAAGAAAGGTTATTCTGAGGACTAAAACGAAATTCCTTATCTTCAACACTGAGATAAACGCCTATCACTCAATGACTGAAATGGAAGTCGGTCATTGCCGGCATGAAGACGAAACCACATACCTGTGCGAAGGAAATTGGGCGTGGGAAATAAAACCGAACAACAAACAGCCGTGCAAATGATGGTGTTTAGTTGCGTATTAATCTTTATTCTTCTGAGCCTGGGTATATACCCAGACTCATGCATAATTCCAACCCTTAAATCTAGTGCGTCTATTGCTGAATGTGTAAGGCTCAGCATTGGTCTATTACATGTTCTTATCTTATCGCAGAGTTTGTAAGGCTCCGCGTGTGTCTATTAGCTATTCTTATCCTATAGCTGAGGATGTAAGGCTCAGCGTTCGCCTCTTACATAATCTGACTCCGGGGATGCAAAGGTTGGTGTCCATTTGTCTATTTATAGAGTCCGTACATGTGACCCTTATCTTTTCCCAGCGCATTACCTGCTAGTCGTTGAGTGCGTCGGAGGTATGTATACGATCTTTGTATATTCATATGTTCATGCCTGAACATTCTGCGGGGGGCCAAAGTGTGTAACGTCCAGAACTGCTGTGGATTTCTCAACAAGATATAGGACAAATACAAATATAATAATTGTTAATATTTTTGACGAAATGATCATGCTTGCAATCCTTATTTTCGTGCTGAACATTCTGCAGGGCCCAGAGAATGTGACATCCAGATAAACCGAGTATGCCACCATCACCTTAGTCTATTGCTCAGGTGGCGGCTAGCATGCCAAGTGAAGTCGTGCTCTTTAAAGAGCTTCTGCGGCTTGTAGGTGTCATCGTTTGTTGCATTAATATAGCTGATTGCATCAGTTGAGGAAGTTGTCGATCGCTTCATTGTTGCCGAGGCCAAAGCCTCCAGTTGATAGATGTCCTTCTGTTGATGCTGATTCGTTATTGCTCCTATTGCTTCGCTTGTAGTGGTTATGGTTGTTTCATTTAATATGTTGCTGCTACTTCCAATTGTACTTGCAGCTTTAATCTCCATTGTTGGTGGCGCTGCAGTGGTCACCACTGGAGAGTTTGAGTCGGTATTGTCGCTTTTCTCTTTAGCTGCACTTCCAGTCGCTGTTGCAGTCTCCGAAGAAGTTTGCTCTTCCGTCGTGCTGCCAACTGTGGAAATATCATCCATTGCACTATGGGTAAAAAGACCGAATTTTTGGCATTAATTGTCCCTGAAGTGATATGAATTTTTTATAATTTCGGTTTTTTTTTTAATAGAGCCACGCCCCCACCCCTTTCGCTTATAGAATCCATCCGGTTATTGCAACGAAATTTCTAGTCCCAGACAAGCTTTTACCGTGAATATTATTTTAGTTATAAGTTTCTTATTCCAACTCAATACAATTCATTCAATATTTCTTTTTTCATAGGTGTCTTCAGTATCATCTTCCTCTTTTTCGCTTTTGATTGAACTAGGAATTCTTCCAAATGTTTCAGAAGGTTCGAAACTATATGTCTCTAGAAGTGCAATATCTTCTGTAGGCATTTCTTTATTTCTCATTCGGCGAGCTCGTTCTTTCAAACCGAGACTAGAAATAAGTGGGTCTGATGAGTCTAGTGCTCTATTGAATACGCCACTTATATTTTATATAAAATATAATATAACAAACACAAATTGAATGTTTTCTCACACAGAGCTTTAAATTTCCCGGAGTTCACCTTATGCTCGCAAGAGATAGCAATTAATATTATAGAAACGGTTGATAAGATTTATTGGTCAAAATTTAAAATGGTAAAAAAAACAACTCAACATTTCCAAAAGCTCTTCTTGCTGCGTTGCCGTCATTAGATTTACCACTTCAAAACTAATGTTGTATCCTTTTCCGTTAATTTTTTAAACGAAACTAATGCAGAGAGGCGTCGTGTTATCATACTCTGAGGCAAGCTCAGAAGCCGATTTCTCTTTTAATCGTGGACCAGCATCGTTATAATTTAATTGCTTCCAACCTGCTCTTTTAGGTGATCTGGCGAACGCATAGACCTTGATACTTGACTGTCAGAAACCTAAGAAGGAGCTTCAGGAAAATAACTTGCTCAAAACGGTAAAGCACGGTGGAGGTAATGTGATGGTTTGGGGGTGTTTTGCTGCTTCTGGAGTTGGAAACCTTGTGTTTATTGATGACACTATGGACAAGCATGTTTATAGAGACATTCTCAAAGAGAATTGAAGTCCAGATATTCAAAAACTGCGTCTCAGTGGCACTGATTGCAAGATTCATCAAGACAATAACCCAAAACATTCGTCTTATACTGTGCAGGAGTGGCTCATATACCATTGCAAGCAGTTCAAAGCACCGCCCCAATCACCGGAATGGAATCCCATCGAGCATGTGTGGCACCTATTAGAAAGAAAGATCCGATATCATCAAATAACCTCAAAGGATTCTCTAAAAGAGGTCCTACGCGCTGGATGGGCCAAAATCACTACTTATGAAACGTCAAGGCCAATAATTATCAGTCTAAAGGAGGACCCACAAAGTATTGGGGTGATTGACTAGCGATGAAAATGACTGATTACGCCTATTGTGCTAATTTTTTTTTGACGAAAATTTTTGCCTATATTTATATTTTAGTTCTGCGCAAGTGAACCAAACTAGAAATTTAATTTTTTTTATGTTAAATAATATTAGAAAACATGGTTTTAACAAATACCGTGTTTCATTTATTTATAGCTGTGTTCAAAAACAAGTTACAGCTCTTAGAAGTTTGATTTTTCAAGTGTGCCAATACTTTTTTGACCCACTGTAGTTACCACAGTTTAGGATAAATATTTTAGTATAAATATTTTACAATTTATAAGCAAATTAGTTTCGAAATTGAAATTTGGATCCGTACAAAATTAGCTCTTTTATACCCCTAACCCATTTTCATTGAGAAATAAGATTATAATGGTCGTCAAAAGTATGTAACTGGCATAAGGAGGCGTGGCAGGCCCCACAAGTTACATATTTTTAATCAGGGCGATAAGCTGGGTCGATTTAGCCCTGACCGCCTGTCCGTATGTATGAACGCGTCGTGTCAGCGCTCGCAGCGCACTGATTTTGTTGTGCCATTTTTCACTGCTCGAGCCTCAGAAGACCGCGCCGAGCAAATACAAAGTTTTCTGGTCTCCAGTCCATTTCATTCTATGTGTTGTTTGGTTAGTGCTTCAGGTTACTATTTAGCCTTACGTATAGTACACTTAATTTTTCTTAAATTACAATTGCAGATAAAATTCCAGCCAGAATAGTCTTATATTTTCTTTCCTGGTCTGGTTTTCTCGTGTCATTCATGATGCGTAATGATATGAATTTTGCTCTGGTTGCCATGATATCAGATGACAATGGAACACAGAACGAAAAGGGAAATGACTTTTATGCATTGAATATGGTAAAACATAAATAAATACAGTTATTCATTCAAAACATTAAATCTTTTTTCTACTACAGGGTAGTGGCGCTGAAGATCATACGTCAATAATCAAGTCTGTGATTATAAGCTCGTTTTATTGGTGCTATGTGCTGTCTCAAGTCGTTGGCGGCGTCGCAACGCAAGCTTTTGGAACTAAGTGTGTATTTGGATGGTCACAGTTGGCAACAGCTTTATGCAGTTTACTTATGCCATTAGCTGCAGAATTTCATTACGCTGTTGTAATATTCTTACGCTCAATTCAGGGATTTGCATCTGGCCTCACTTGGCCTGCCATGTACGCAATGGTGGGGTACTGGATTCCTATGACAGAGCGTTCACGTTTTATGTCAAGCTTTCAAGGATTTAGTATTGGTATTGGTCTAACTTACCCACTCTGTGGATTTATTATAACAACGTTCGGTTGGCCACTTGTCTTTTATACGACTGGTCTATTGGGAATCGGCTGGTGTTCTCTATGGTACATTTTAGCGTTTGACACACCACAAGAACATCCCCGTATAAACGCCGAGGAGCTGCATTATATAGAGCGCAATATTGGGGAAGATGTACGAAAATCATATTCAATAAAAGTTCCTTGGGGACATATATTTAGATCGTTGCCAGTTTGGGCGATTGCAGTTACAACATTCGGTCGAATTTTCGTACATTATATTTTTATAGTTAATGGGCCTGCTTTTATGAATCATATTCTTAAGTTCGAATTTGGAGCCAATGGAATTTTGTCAGGAATGCCATTTCTTTGCTCATACATATCGTCCGTATTTTTCTGTTATATTGCAGATAAACTATTATTAAATAATATGATGAGTCTTACTAAGGTAAGGAAATTGTTCACAGGCTTATCGCAAGTTATCCCTGGATTACTGATATGTTGTTTAGGGTATATAGATAATATAACGTTTCTTTTGACAATCTGGTTTATATCTGTTATTTTTATTACGGCATCGTACGCTGGAGCAATGGCTAATATTATAGATATCTCACCAAACTATGGGCACTCAGGAGCAGTATTAGCATTCTGTCAAACAATTCACATGTCCGCGTCATTTCTATCACCATTGACTGTTGGATTCTTAGTAGCTCAAGAGGTAAATTCTAATAACCACTACACTTCACTTCCATTTAACAGATTAATTTTTATCGTACACTGAATACAAGTTGACCTATGTATGTCTGATTGTTAACGCATTGATTTCGGAAAATGAACTAGATATATAAAATATAATTTATGTTATATACTAGATTTGTTTAAATTAAAAATAACAGGTAGAACTGACTAAGTATATACGTATATATATGATCAGGGCTACTAGCTGACTCGATTTAACCCTGTCCCTCTGTCTGTCCGTATATTTGACCGCGTCGATCTCAGAAGATATAAGAGCTAAAGACTTGAAATACTTATAAAAGTCCGTATATTCAGCTACTAATCATATATTAAACATATAGTGCAAAGCTTTTGCACAGTTAAATTATTGCATACGTGCCCAGACCACTTCGCATTTGCTCGGTCCCTTTGAGGTACTAAAATGTAGGAACGGAACATTTTCCCACTTCTTTGCAATGTAATTGCAGAAATAATTGCAACGCAATTTATTAAGTGTTATTAAAATGTACTAAATAGAATAGGCTATTTATTAAATTATACTACAAAAACATTGCAAAAAAATTTAACGTACTTTTGGTAAAATTTTTATTTTTTTTAACTAGACCGATTGGACAAAATCGTTTTGGTAATTTCACTATACGTTATGTTTCTTTATTTAAAGCTTCTCAAATTTGAATTTTAATGTAGAAAATTTTGTAAGAATTTAGCATATTTTTTCACTTTGAAAATAGCAAATCAGGGTGATGTGCTTTTGTGAAAGTATGTAAAATGCAGAAGGAATCATCGCAGACCCCTTAAATATATATTCTTGATCAGGACAAACTGAGTCTATATAGCCCTGTCCGTCTGTCTGTTCATCCTAATTTGAAGACTTTTAGACCTAGAGACTTCAGATTTGGTGTGTATATGCAATTAATGAATACAAAGATTTTAGAACTTACACATTTTGGATACCACGCCCCCTCGCCCCCAATTTTTTAAAAACGTATTTCAAGTTCTAGAGATTTGAGTTTGGAATGTACACGCATTTATCCTAAATATATGATCATGCTTTGAAAGTCTCTTAAAGATAGTCCATCTACAAAAGAAATTATTCAAGAAGTAAATTCTCATATTATTGCCCACACTGCAGCGCTGCCCAAGCGTAGCCGCTGCTTACTGCGCAGTTAGCAGAGCGCGTGCTTATACGTACGTGGGGATGCATGTGTATGTATACGTGTATAAACGAAGTGCAGAATGATTAGCTTGGCGGGTTTAGGGTATTTCCTAGTCGAGTAGTCTCGACTGGAGCCTTCTTGTTTAAGTTTTTATACCCTGAACCCATTTTCAATGGGAAATCAGGGTATAATGGTTTTGTTGAAATGTATGTAACAGGAAGAAGGAGGCGTGGCAGACCCCACAAAGTATATATATATTCTTGATGAGGGCGACGAGCTGAGTCGATTTAGCTCTGTCCGTCTGTCTGTCCGTATGTATGAACGCGTCGATTTCAGAAGATATAAGAGCTAGAGACTTCTTCTGTCCGTATTTACAGCGCGGATATCGAGTTTATCATTAAAAATCGATAACTCATACCGTTATTTTTTTATCGATAAAAAAACCCTATCGAAAAACAGCTATAAAATTATATCTTCTACACCTTTATTGCTAGTCTCCAAATTTTTAGACTCATTCACGAAAGTGAAATGAGTATATTGGTTTTGTGCAATGTCCGTCTTGCTGTCCGTCCGTCTGACCGTATGAACGCAATCGATTTCGGCGCTATTGAAGCTAGAGACTTGAAATTTGGAACACATACGCGTGCATATCTCCGATTTATAAAGTGTTAAAATTTTCCCGATCCGCCCACTAGGGGCGTGGCAAATCGGAAAATGCATTTTCCGATATACCAGAAATCATGTTTGTTGAAGAGCTAGAAAGCTGAAATTTGATATGTAGGTCCGCGCCGACCACCCAAGATCACAAGCTATGGCGGATATATCTCCGTCCATTAGGGGCGTGGCAAATCGGATAAAACTGTATCTCCTAAATGCTGAAATTTTGCATGTAAGCTGATATTTTAATTCTATGAAGATGAGTGAAAAAATTATATATATACGCCCACTAGGGGCGTGGCAAATCGGACCTGAACATATAGTGATTTTTCGAATTCTGTTATATTTTAGGCACTATTGATGCTAGAGACCTGAAATTTTGTATATATACGCGGGTTGACCACCCACGTCCAACGAGCTATGGTAGATATATGTCCGCCCATAGGGGGCGTAGAAAACCGCAAAAGTTTATATCTCCTACAGTTTAAGAGCTAGAAGCTTCAAATTTGGATAGTTAAGTTACCTCCTCTATCTATGCCCCAAAAATAATTTTTAAGTCTCTTTAGGGGCGTGGCATATCGAAAAATACCCTGTAATTTTCACGTTTTTTGAGCGTAAGAATTCAAATTTTGCATTTAGGTAACCGGTTGCTCGTTCTAAGAACTGGCTAAAATTGAGTAGTCTACGGCCACTAGGGGCGTGGCAATCGGCATTTACAGTGCCCGAATTGCGACATTTATATGCGTCAGCCATCTATTTATGTATATGTACACATAAGTAGGCTTAATAGGCATTGATAGCACGGAAGGAAACATTTTTATAAAATTAATAAAATATAAAAAAGCTAAAATAACAAAAATTTGCAATTTACAAAAAAGTGTTTTCAGCGGGATTTGAACTCGCACCCAACCCAAACAGCATGTTTGTCAAAATAGCTAAAATAAAGATCGTCGGCGCTTCAGCCTACAGCACCACCGCGTCGTTTCGATCAGTAGTAGTTAAAACGAAATCATATTATTGTTATGACGCCACATAGCAAAGAAAATCCAGTGTAGCGGCTGGAAATTCAAAAACAATGCAAAGACAAATCAATCGCAACGGGATTCTTAGAATATGCTAGAGCACGCATTTATGTGTACATACATACACACATACAAATGAGCGCGTGTATAAGGCTGGAATGCTTGATGCTATGCGTGCAGGCTTACATATATAATTGTATATACATATGTATGTATTTGAGGGCTATTTAAGAAGAAACAAATTTAAACTTATAAAATTATTCGACTAAATATCTATTTTATAAAAAACGAATATGTATGAAAAAAAAAAAAAAAAATAATAATAACATAGTAGAGGTTCGAACCTCCCCTACTCTAACATTACTTGCGTCGCCCTTAGCACCCGCGCCACTGCTTTGCTCGAGAGGTCAGTTGCTAAAATAGAATAGCTTAATAAGAGAGCGTCATCAGACAAAACTACAGTAACGGCTAGAAAGTCCAGAAATCAATCGAAATTCTAAGAATGTGAGAAAAGGCGCGCTTCTGTCTGTACGCATAGAATAGACGATGAGTGTGTGCACAAGCATAGGAAAATCGCGCTGATCTGCTGTTAGCTTGAAGCCGGTATCCAATGTATGGATATAAGTATATAATAAAAATCAAAATTGTATAAATTATATATGTATGTAATTTGAATGCAATAGCTATCGATGATTTTCCAATTTTAATGGCATCATGCCGTGTTTTTTGCTGGGCACTAGACTTGAAAATTGCACTATATACTCTGGTTGACAGCGTTTGGGCTGTGAATGAGTCTTCTGCAATCGGTATCGCCCGACTGCAACGTTCTTACTTGTTAATGTATGCTTATATGCAATTTATACAATTTCGATTTTTGTTAAAATTTACCCCCCACCCCTATATCCACTCGCTCACCCTCACTTTTGTAAAAAGCGTATTTCAAATACTAGAGACTTGTCTTTTAGCAAATACATGCATATCCATGTTATAATCATAATTTAAGTTTCATGAAGATAGTATGTCCACAAAAAGAGTTATTATGCGTGCGTGCGCATGACTGTGTGTGTGCGTGTATGTGTGCATATGCGAATAATTATTGAAATATCAGTTGCTCGAAGGGTTCAGGGGATCTCGTAGTCGAGCAGTCTCGACTAGGAGCTCTTTTACTTGTTTATAAAATAGATATTTTATTGGGAAGGTGCGAGCTTGAATGAATGGCACTTAATACTTTCGTTTTTTTAATCGAATAATTTTATAAGTTTAAATTTGTTTCTTCTTAAATAGCCCTCAAATACATATACGCAAATACATAAAGATCATCAAGAGCATCAAGCATTCTAGCCTTATACACGCGCTCATTGGTGTGTGGTGTGTATGTATGTACACATAAATGCGTGCTCTAGCATATTCTAAGAATCTCAGTTGCGATTGATTTGTCTTTGCATTGCTTTTGACTTTTCAACCGCTACACGGGCTTTTCTTTGCTATATGGCGTCATAACAATAATGTAATTTCGATTTAATTACTGTTATTCGAAGCGACGCGGTGGTGCTGTAGGCAGAAACGCCGGCGATCTTCATTTTAATTATTTTGACAAACATGCTACTTAGCTTGGGTGAGAGTTCGAATCCCGCGGAAAACGCTTTTTGGGAAATTGCAAATTTTTATTATTTTAGCTTCTTTTATATTTTAAATTTCTTAAAAATGTTTCTTTCCGTATTATGAATATCTATTAAGCTTATTTATATATACAGATACATAAACAGATGGCTGACGCAAGAGAGTTCTCAGTGAGAGTGTACAGACGTGTTTGTTTTTCTGCTCTGCAAATTTGCTGGTTTTTTATAATTAATTGCTTTTATTATATTTCACACAACTGCGGTCAGTTTTATTTTTGCTGGTGGCTGTTTATTCCTATGCAAGGTTTGATCCGTGGTATTTTCTATAATTGCTTTTTTTAATCTGTGAAGTTTTGCGAAGCGTCGGTTGGATATTTGCATTATTTTGCATTTTACTCTAGTGCTTCTATTGTTTTTGGCGCTCTCTTCATTTCACTTTTTATACGTTGGTTAGTGTGAGTGTTTGCATACTTGCTCTCTCGAATTTCAATCGTCGTGCGGTGCAAATATTCTCTCTGTGTTTCT